TGTTAATTGCAAGATATTATTTCACATAATATCTTGCAATTATTCACATAAATTCACCATATATGGCTAGCCACTATTCTCCAAATAGGGTTGGCCACTCCCCTATAAATAGCCATATTCTCCCACTAAAAAGCTAACCCATTTGCTACCCATAAACTTCTAAACACATTCTTTTCAGACTTCTAACTTTGGCATTATAGATTCTTCGGCCAAAGGCCCCCCCATTCATCATGGGCGTGTGAGGTTTTTGGCCTTAATCTTAAGTGTTATTATTTTGCAGGTGCATTTTCATCAAAAGAGAAAACGGCAAAAATTTGCATCCACAAATTGGTGCTTTCATTGAGAGTTTGATTAACACGCTCGAAAAAGACTCTCTAGCATTCAACATTTCTCGTTTCTCGTTCGTTCATAAATTTTTCATACTTTCTTATTCCTAGAATTTATAATTCTTTGAATAGAGGTGAAGAAAAAAAATACAATGACAGTAAATTCGAAAATCATAATGAACGGAACTTCCTACGTTTAAAGATCCGGATCAAATGATGGAGGACGAGACGTAGCCTCACCACAACAATCCATGAGGCTCAATACGATGGCAAGAGAAGGAACTTTGCCACCAAGGAGCACCACCACCATGGCAACCACGGAGACCACCGTGGCAGTGGGGAGTAAGCCAGCTCCATGGTAGCAAGCCCACGGTGAGCAAGGAGCAGCAAGGCAGCCATAAGCCTAAGCCCATGCCACTTTGCAGCACCAAGCCCAGGCGCTAAAAGCATCCTAAGTCGATGCCTTAGCAGCGCATGCCTAAGCCTCATGCACTTGGCACACGACTTAATCTGCAGCTTACGCTACAAGGCAACCAAGCTAGGCCTAACGCAAACTAGCCCAAGCCATTACCTTAGCAACACAAGCCCAACCAGCTACAGTATGAAAATCAGCCTAACACTCGCGGGCCTAAGGCCAGCGCGAACCTAGTGCAATTCTAAGACAAGCCTTAGCTTATAACTCATACACACCGTATACAGGGCAATTCACACAAGCGAGCCGACCCGCTTATTCGATCTAACCACTCCCATGGTCCAATCCAAGGTCTAGCCCACTCTCGTGGCCCTCAAAGCAATCATAATCAGTCCAAGACCAATTCAACCATCCCGGCTTCAGATTTCTGGACTGACGATTGAACCGAGGGTAGTTTCGCTGTATTTCTCCGTAGATTTGAGATATCCCAACATAAATCTCGTGCATGGAGTTCATTACACTTCCACTACTCAATGAGACATTTGTCATCCAAGCTCTTCTAACCTAAATGGCGAACAACACTTGTTTTGACAAGTCATAGAGTTGACAAGCGCCTTCGTGCAGCAGACGACCTTGGTGAATCAACTCTTGTAGCACACTGAAATGCAGCGTGCCCCAGACGAGGTATCCTGAAGTAGGACAAAGGTAGATGACATACCTCTCCAGCAGTGTCTCGGCAAGCAGCCACTTGACCAGTCATGAACCAAGTGTTCTAGCAGTGTACACTACAGACTGGGCCTCTTGAGATAACGTATATTTTTGTCTTAACACCCGGATGAGCGTTCACTCTCGGTTAGGCCTACAGACTTGCATACATTTATGGTTGGGGCCACACTTCGGTAATCAACATGGGCAACCTTTCAAGCGAAGTGTTCATTTGCAGCTAGGCTCGCCAGGAGCATCATCCACCTCACATTGGAGCAGACAGCACGACGGACAGAGAGAAGCTGTCAATTAATTCAGCTCAAGTTTAACAGGCAACCTATGAAGAACTTGCTTGCCTACCAGGAACAAATCACATACACCGCAGCCATGACATAGACGAGCCAAAACACATGGAAAAGAAACCTGGGCTAATAGGTCACGATCGGGGGTAACCAAGAGCTCCGTTACCCCAACAAAGGCAAATTTAAGAAGTAGAAAGACTCATGACCAAGCGATTGCATAATTTCCAACGCAATGAGATCACTAATGAGGCATTACGAAGGGACATGACCACTATAAGCAGGTCACCCTTCATAGACGAGATCGAGCATGCAGAGCCTCCACGAAAATTCAACATGCCACATTTCACATCCTTCAAAGGAGATGGAGACCTAGAAAGGCACCTAACGCACTACCGAAGCACATTCATCCTCGTTTAGAACAATGATGCTCTTATGTGCAAAATATTTCCCACCACTTTATAAGGTGAGGTGCAAGATTGGTTCCATAACCTGCCACCACAATCCATCCGAAGTTTCGATGCGCTTTCTTTGGTTTTCACCAATGAGTATTCATCATACCGCTCAATAAAAAAGAAGTCCGACCATTTGTTTAACATCAAGAAGAACCCAAAGGAATCGTTTCGCGACTATGTGAAGAGGTTCAAAGTAGAAAAGGCAAAGATAGTCGGATGCAATGACTCGATAACTAATGCAGCCTTCCTAAAAGAACTCCCAGCAAACCACCTGTTGTTCAGAGAGCTGATCATGAAAGAAGATCTAACTTTGGTAGACTCTTTCACTTTGGTAGAAAAGCATGCACTTTGGGATAAGGCTCGACGAGTAGACAAGGCACCCGAGCAACCTCGAATAGAATCAGTAGTAGCACAAAAGAAGGAGGATGAGAATCAGTACAACAACAAAAGTAGGCAGGAGGCCAAGTGCAGGGATCGATCCTCAACTAAAGGAGGCCTAACACCCAAGAACTACTCTAAGTTCTCGATCCCAATGCACTAAATCCCCTGCGACATCAAGAACGAACCATGGTTCAAGCTACCAAAGCAATAAAAGGGAGATACCTCCAAGTTGGACCACACTAAGTACTGCGCATTCCATCAGGGTTCTGGTCACATAACTGACGACTGCTACACTTGGAGGAATTACCTAGAAAAGCTGGTGAAAGAAGGCAAGGTTCCCCCACATGTCGTCTATGGCAGTAACCTTGTAGTAGTCTTGATATGTGTCATGTGTGGGGGTGATTAAACTGTCGTGAGACGATTTTGGAAGGGCTTCCATGTGAAAGTCCTATTCAATTCACTACTACAAAAGTGGGTTATTGTGTCGACGGTTGGTGTCAGTTTTATATAATATACTGGAAATAAGACATTTCCGATAGTCATTTTACATGTTGTTGGAATTAATGTCGGTTATAATCGACATAAACTGTCTATGTCGCTTATTACAGACATAGACTGTTAATGTCACTTATAACCGACATAATTTTTAATCTTTTTAAATGGTGGTATCGTATAAAAAAAGAATCGTGTCGTTTTCAACCGACATAAAGTTAATGTCGGTTAAAAAGAGAATCGTGTCGTTTCTAACTGACAGTAATAATTATTTTTAAATATTTTAAAACTTCCTGTCGATTGTAGCCGACAGGTTGGTGTTTATATACCCTGCCTCGTGTCTTCTTCTTCCTTTCTCGCGTCTTTCTTATTTGTTCATCTTCATCTTCATTTATTCCTTCTTCTTTACAGTAAGTTTTTCTTGCTTCTAGTATTTTTATTTTCTCCTCTTATGTTTAATTTTTGTTTACAATTTAATTTTGTAGGGATTTTATTTGAGCTGGTTAAGTACATAAAGAATTGATCGACGATAGAATTCTTCCATAATTCAGGTTTCTATCACTAAATTCCTTAATTTTTAAATTGTATAATACAAAAGTTTATTTATTTAAAATTTAATTTAAGTATTTAGATAAATTTGTAGTATTTATGTTCAATTAATAAATATTTAGTCAAATTAATTGATTTTGTCACTTGAATTGTTATAAGAAAATGCAAATGAATAATATTTATAATTTTGGGAGGGAATTTTGGGTGGAAATTTAAAATTTTGGGGGAAATTTTAAAATTTTGAGGGAATTTTTTGCAAAATTTTGGGAGTGAATTTTGGGGGGACTTTTGCCGCCATTCTTAGTGCCGTCGGTTATATCCAACGGTAATAGTTTAATATTTTTTAGAAAAAGCTTGTTGTTGGCTTTAATTGACAGTAATACAAATTTTCTAGAATAAAACCCCTCCCTCCCTTCCTTGCGTCACTGCCTTCTCCTCTCCTCCTTCTTTACTTCTCCTTCTCTTATCCCTTTCTCCTTCTCTATGTTTTAAATTATTTGTATTTCGTTCAGTATGTGTTTTAAATTTTGATTATGTTATTAAATCGAGTTTGTATTTTGAATCTTGACTTGAGATACCTTATCAAATATTATGCATAAAATGAAAATTGGTCTTTGTTTAGAGCTTTTATGTAGGTTTTGTTTTTGTAAATATGCATTACAAATGTTTTTTTCTTTATTAACAAGGAGCAATGCCTCAACGGAGAACTTGGAGTTGTGGAATCCCAAATTGTATATTTTTCCTTTAACGATGGATTGGCACTTGATTAAGGAAGATGAAAAGGAAGTAAAATGTAGGTATATTTTGTCTTTTTTTTACAAATTGTATAATTAGTAAAAGATTATAAACATAATTAATGAACTTTTATATATATGAATATATGTTTCTTACAAATTGTATAATTAATGAACTTTTGTAATTTTTTTTAATTATTATCAGTTAGAAACCAAGACAAGATTTTTATTTTATTTATTTATTAATGTTTTGTGGTGTTGGTTATGGGCGACAATATAGTTGTTTAATTTATTTATTAAATAGCTAAGTGGGTCGGTTAGGGTCGACATTAATATGCTCCAATCTGACAGTCTTTCTCATTATTTAATGTCGCATGTATCAGACGTGAGTTTCAATGTCACTTTTATCCAACACTACTACCCTTTTTTATTTTACATAGCTTTCCTTTTTCTTGGCGGATTAAAGGGACTAACCGACATCAAAAGTCTTTTCGTGACGCTAGTAATGGTGTCGGTTCTTTTATCTGACATTGCATGGGTTTATGTCGGATTTTTCCTAAATATCCAACATAAATGGGTTTGTCCTGTCGCTTTTTATAATGACACTACTGTGTACTTTTGTAGTAGTGATTACTCAACGGCGCTTGATTCAAATATAATTGTGGATAATTCTCAGATATGTATCACTTTGTACAGGACTCGTCTCTTGTATATATACTTGTACCGTGATAATGAATGAAGAAAGGCTAAGCGTTCCACAAACAGTAAACAGCTCTTGCTATCTCCTTCTCTGTCTACTGAGTTTTTCTACAATTTCATCGTCAAAACTGTCGTTGTAGCCGTACTCCCAAAAAAACTTAGATTTCCTATGGGTGGGGAAAGGGACCCTGCCACCTTATGAGATTATAGGTACAACATTGTGACCTTTTGCGGATGTCGCCGACTACCTGCGACACCTTGCCACATTCCAACGCGAAGGGATTCGTTCCAGGAGCTCATTACATTATGAGCATCTTGCTTTGTTCCAGCTTTGAAGGCTAGGAGGGCCAAACTATCTGGTTCATTCCAAGTGTCCATCCACCATTGTCAGTATGGCAAATGGTTCTTCAACTGCTAATTTTCTCACCCTTTTAAAGTAAAAAAAAAAAAAAAGACAAAATTATTAATTTGTAAGTGAGAGGTTTTAAGTTCAATTTTCACCAAAGATGAATTTGAATCACATTATTACTGGTCGATTATGAGACTAAGTCCACTCCCTTTTCGTTAGTATGGATAAGATCGTTTGTTCTTATAAAAATAAAAAATAAAAAAAAAGAAACACTGCTTTTCAGCTTTTAAAGCCATCTTATGAGTAACCGCAATCCCAATAATAATTGATAACATAAGCCTAAAAGACATAAACATCCTTAAAACTTAAAATCTTCATCTAAAAAAAGAAATTATCTAACAAAAAATTGGCATATCTTAATAAAAAACTTTGTACCTTGTTCTTCTCGTTTTAGAATTTGAATTTTGATGTCCTCTGTTTTAAGAAAGAAAATTGAGAGAAGATTTAGTGCGAGAAAATCTTCAGTTGAGAGCAAAAATTCAAGAGTTCGATCTTGAATTAAGTTATGAGAGGAGCAAGAGAGATAACCCACTCCATAACCATTTAAATTGAAATCCTTGCGTAAGGAAGCCTAAAATTAAATAAATAACAAAAAGACAAAAACATCCTTAAAACTTAAAATCCTAATATAATATTGTAAATGATGAGTTTTGGCAAAAAAAATCCCCATGCATCATACATCATTGCAAGAAGAAAATTTTAATTGTGACGGGAACATGGATGGTATACCATGTGTTTTTATGTAAATGGTGAAAAATTTTAATTTTTAAGTTATTAACCATTTAACACACATATCCCACTATTTATATAGAAACATGTGATGTACCATCTCATGTGACGATCATACTAAAAAATCTCTCCATTGTAAAGCGGTGACCGGTCTATTTAAAACAAGAAGTTATGGGTTGGAATCAGACACTAAAGTTAAAATCTACAAAACTTTATTTCTTTCCGATCGATTTTGTGACTTTTGACTTATTTTGCTCCAACACTTAATTGGTGAGACTCTCTTGAAATGCCAACCACTTGTCGGCAATTATTTTGTAGGCCAAATTCATTGTAACACGTGTAGTAGTCCATTATTAAGGTTGTGCCAACCAACTTCGTGTACAGAGTTATTTGCGAACCAAATCCTGGACCTGGTCCTCCTTCTTAGGCCATCTCGAATGGAAACAGCGCATTTTGTTCCATCAATTTTACATTTTGGCTTTAATTTTTTGCCATTTCTGGATGTGGGCACTGCCTGAAACGTCTCCGCAACTACAAAACTTTCAGCTTTTGATGTAACCCCTTACCAATCCTCTGTGACGGAAAGTGGTCTGTATATGATACAGTTTTTAAACCTTTTTATAAATAAGATTTGTTAGCATTATGTGTCGAAAATTCTATTTAATTGGTAGTACAATTTACATTTATATTACGGTAAAGTGCTAATTTAGTTCTTGAATTGTTACTTCAGTGAAAATTAGATCATTGAATTATTTTTTTAGTAAAATAAGTCCTTAAATTCATTAAAATTGCTAATTTAATCTCTGCTATTATATCCAAAACTATTTTATCCAATTTTTAGTCAAATTAAGTCACTTGACACACTTTAGAGTGTAATACCGTCACTTTCTCGCCTATAAGCCCTTAACATTTCATTTAGGTTGCGAATCTAACGTTTAATCTACCCTCTGAAGTTAACTTACACTATTTCTTATGAAAACCTACCAATTCACCTCCAAAGTTAATTTCATACACTATCTTTTTATGAAAAACTATCAATCTACCCTCCAAAGTACATCACATGGAAGTAACGTGACTTAAATTGTTGAAAAATTATATATAGTAGCTTCGAATATAATATTAAGGATGTAATTGACATATTTTTATAATTCAAGCAGTGATTTTTCTAAAAAAAAAAAAAAAAAAAAGGTTTAGAGACCTAATTTTCACTTAGGTAATAATTAAGGAACTAAATTGACAGTGTACCATTTATATTATATTTATTTGTTTAAGAGTGTTGGGAGCTGAGCAAGCAGAAGTTTTTGTCATGTACTTGGGACTGTTGTGCAATTAACCCCCTTTTCAGCTCCGAATAATTATAAGTAGTTTAATTAAATTAATTAATAAATTTAAAACTAATAAATTATTCAAGGGTCATGTTTAGCCTTTTCATTTGGAGATAGTATTTGAATATGACCTGACACTATTCATTAAAATATAATATCTTGCAAGGCTTTAGTTTTTGTGTAAGATCCCACATCACGTAGGGGTAAGGATCTTGTAAGCCTTATATGTATATTCTCATCTTTACGTAGCACGAGACCTTTTGGGAGCTCACTGGCTTTGGGTTCCGTAGGAACTCTGAAGTAAAGTAAGTTCGCGGGAGAGCAATCCTAAGATGGATGACCCATTGGGAAGTTCTTGTGTGAGTTCCCAGAAACAAAACCGTGAAGGCGTGGTCAGGGCCCAAAGCGGACAATATCTTGTTACGGTGGAATTGTGCCCAGGATGTGGTGGGGGCCCGGGTCGGGATGTGACAATTTGGTATCAGAGCCACTCCTTGGCCGGAAATGTGCTGACAAGGACGTCAGGCCTCTAAGAAGGGTGGATTGTAAGATCCCATATCGCCCAGGGGTGAGGATCCTGTAAGCCTTATATGTATATTCCTATCTCTACCTAGCACGAGGCCTTTTGGGAGCTCACTGGTTTCGGGTTCCATAAGAACTTCGAAGTTAAACGAGTTCGCGCGAGAGTAATCCCAAGATGGGTGACTCACTAAGAAGTTCTCGTGTGAGTTCCCAGAAACATGTGGGTGTGGTCAGGGCCCAAAGTGGACAATATCGTGCTACAGTGGAGTCGAGCCCTGGGATGTGGTGATGGCCCGGGCCGGGATGTGACATTTGGACAAGGTTATGTTTAGCCTTTCGATTGAAGATGGTCTTAGTCATTCCCATGTCTTACTGTTGACTTTAAAAACTACCAAACATATGCGGCGAGCAGGCTGAATAGCTAATGAACTAATTATGTCATTTAGGTGAATGCAGGACATGCCAACTCGTAAACCGAGCTTCGTTGACAAGTAAATGCATGTGTGGTGGTGGTATCGAACGCATTACCAACTTCTTATCAGAGTGATTGCGGCCAAGAAAGGAACTCGTCTTGACCTTTGGATTCTAGAGCTTGAAGATAAGGTTGCTAGTCATTGCAAAGTTCAATCTTCGTCTGCTTCAATTTTACTTGTCCAAATATAAGTGTGTCGAATTGATACTAGATTGTATGGACATAAATACTCAAAAGAGATAAGTGTCTTGATTGTAAATATGGTTCGGCCGTCCGAATGCCAAACTCTGAACTGCACTTGTGAATATCCAATCATAAAATAGGTTCGGTTTTTAATGTGTCGAACAACGTAAACTAGTAACAACTTGCTCGTTGAAAGATTAATGAAGTGACATTTCCAACAAGGACTTAGAGGTTCCTTGTTGACCTAGACTTGGATAGATAGTTAACCAAACTCAGAGCAATGCTATTTATCTAAAATATAAGATACGCCTTGGTCACCTGACTTTACTACTCCAAAGTTGTTTCTACAAACTTAGAGATGTCACTGGTTGTCAACCATATGGCTGTTTATACAATCTGAGAGATGTGCTTGACGAAGTTAGGAAGGTCAGTGTTTTCTAAAAACTTAAAGGGTTTTGGGCAGAGTGATGCGCAAGGCAAACTTATGTGTTTTGTTGAAGAAAGTTTTTCCGTTGCACAAAATCTTGTATTTATAGAGTTGGATATTTACTTAGCATGGCCTGATGGTTTTTGTAGAATTCAACTGCACCTCAAACTCAAGAAAGGTAGACCAATCTGTGTGCCATCTATCCTTCAAATGGCCATCCGTCACCTTTTCAAACAAATTAACAGCCTACCTAGGCTTATCGCATCATCACAAAAAGCCAAGCTAACCTAGGATGAAGCCATCTATCTTTCAGATGGCTATCTGTCACTTTTTCAAACAAATTCAAAGCCTACTTAGGCTTATCGCATCATCACCAAAAGCCGAGCTAACCTAAGCATCATCCTGAGAGCACTTCCGCCTTTCTCAAATCTTCTAAGGGATAGTGAATTAAATCACCTTCCTTCCCTAAAACTCAGAACTAAAACCCCTCTGGATTCAAAGGAGCTGAACCCAAAGATCAAATAATCCGGATCATTGAAATTTGATTCAACGGTTACAATTATTATAACTTTTAGAGGGCCCCTTGTTTGTAGCCGTTGCATCAAATTTTAATGGCCCAGATTATTTGATGAGTGGGCTCAGGTCCTTTGGGTTCGGAGGGGATTCGGTTTCCCAAAACTCTTCCATCCCATTCCAATTCACTGGGATATGAGAGAGCCTAGTTGCTCACCTAGGCTAAAATTGACTAGCATAGCCCTTAGGCTATGTCCTGCAAGGTTAACGTCAATTATAATAAATAAAAAAATAAAGATTAATTAAAAATAAAAAAAATCATAAAAAAATTATAATGAAAAATATAAAAATAATAATTTTTTTTTTCCATAAATACCTAACAATTTTCTTCCATCTTACACTGCATTTCAATATTTTTAGATATTTTCAACCAATCTTTTATTATTATTATCTAAAATTAAAAATAAAATTATCTTTTATTATTTTATAAAAAAAATTAATAATATTTTAATACGAATTGCTTAAGTTATTCAGTTTAAAAATGAAGATGCAATTGGACATTTATTATTCATTAAAGGTAATTAATATTCAATTGGAAGATTAAGGGGGTTGTATTCAAACTAAGATTTTAAAGGATTTTAAAAATGATAGATTTTATAGGATTTAAAAGGATTAAAGTGTCACATTCCGGTCTGGGCCCCCACCACATCCCAAGCTTGACTCCGCCGTAGCATGATATTGCTGCTTTGGGCCCTGACCACGCTTTCACGGTTTTGTTTTTGGGAACTTAAGCAAGCAGAACTTTCTAGTGGGTCACCCATCTTGGGAATGCTCTGGTCCTTTTCTCGCTTAACTTCGGAGTTCTTACGGAACCCAAAACCATTGAGCTTCCAAAAGGCCTCGTGCTAGATAGAGATGAGAATATACATATAAGGCTTACATGATCCACTCATCTGGGCGATGTGGGATGTTACAATCCACCCCCTTAGGGGCCCAACATCCTCGTCGGCACACTTCTGGCCATGGATTGGCTCTGATACCAAATTGTCACATCCCGGCCCAGGCCCCCACCACATCCGGGGCTCGACTCCACCGCAACATGATATTATCCGCTTTGGGCCCCGACCACGCCCTTACGGTTTTGTTTTTGGGAACTCAAGCGAGTAGAACTTTCCAGTAGGTCACCTATCCTGGGAATGCTCTGGCCCCCCTTTCGCTTAATTTCGGAGTTCCTACGGAACCCAAAGCCAATGAGCTCCCAAAAGGCCTCATACTAGGTAGAGATGGGAATATAAATATAAGGCTTACAAAATTCACTCCCTTAGGCGATGTGGGAAGTTCCTAGAAAAAATTGTCACATCCCGGCTCGGGCCACCACTATATCCCGGGCTCAACTCCACCGTAGCATGATATTATCCGCTTTGGGCCCTGACCGCACCCTCATGGTTTTGTTTTTTGGGAACTCAAGCGAGCAAAACTTTC